TCAGTATTGTAGAGATTGATCCATCTGCCAATACATGTCCCGTCACTTGCTCTTGCTCAATTGTTAGTAGTTCATCAGCTGACGACGTCATGTTCATCAACCCCAGTGTCTCCAACTCCAAATTCGCCATATTCGGCTCCCCTTTATTCCGCCAAGATCCCACCTCCCGATTTGCTTCAGTCCCTGAGCTATTATCCACCTTATTTTCCGGTGTCGAGAATTTTTCATCCACGCCCATCCTACACTTGTAACAAAGCATCTTAGGATCCCCTACAGACCCACATCCTGCAAGCCTAATTAATTCATCGATCTCCCCTTTCAACGACTGGATACGAGCCCTTATTTCCACGATATTCAATAAACCATCATCTAAGCCTTCTACATATGCTGCCATAGACTTAGGCATCATACTATTACCTTCATCTTCACACACAGTAACTACCTTCTCCTTTCTCATTAGCACCCTTTGATCAAAATTCTGCGAGGCCTGTATGTTTGCTGTAACTTCGGCATAGGTCATCCCTTGTCAACTTCGTTCGTTCACTGAATGACGTTTGGCCTTATCTCTAGCAACAAATGAATTAACTACTGCCTAGAACACTTGCGAGATTGATGCCCATCCATCTCCATTCACACCTTCCGACACCATCACAACTTCCTTCCGATGCCTATCCCCATACTGTGCTATCAAGTACTTATCGCGACTGTTCACACATCGTTGCGCCAAGAAAGCTCTTGAAGATTCATTGAACCTAGAGACGAAACCCTCAAACCTACTAGTCACCCTCAACTTGTCCACCATATTCACCATCCAAAGTGCGCCGAATCTTCCCATACAGATTGCGTTCGATATCTTCGAGCCCCACTCAGTCATCCTAACAACACCAAGATTGTTAACAAAAATTGCTTTACCTCCACTCGAAAATGATGATTGAAGACCACACTGTATGCATCCACTTCCTTCCTCCCCTGATAATGTGTAAACGAAAAATTAGACGGCAAAACAGGCATCATGAGTGGTCTATAGATATTCTAGCAATCATCATGGTTTTTCGACGACAGCACGTGGCTGACACGCCGCTCCGTGATCCTCGAACCAAAAGCTCCCTAGCCAAAAACACCTGCGCAGCTTGTCAGTCAAGCGCGTTCAATAGGAAGGCGACCGGAGCTTGCTGGATCTAAGGTCTACTACCAATTGTTCCTTTTCTTCCACCAGTTTCGTCGGCAACTAGTGTTGTTGCTCCATCCAAACAAAACTTTGTTGTCATTTTTCCCTGGTTAGGGCACCGGTGCTAGGATTTCCACCTAGGGCCGCCGCCTACTTGTGTAGTTTAGTATGTGGCGTGGGTCACTGTTTAGGGGTTCGTCGGATGACGCGATATTGCTGTCGTCGACGTTGACAAGGGTCGGGGGTGTTTGGGAAGTCGGCTACTGGTTATGGGGTTGGGTGTTGGGTTTGGATGTTAGGGAGGGGAATTCCATCGGGGAGAGAGAAAACTAGTAAGTAAAAAAAAAAAAAAACTCGAAATTTTGCCAGAGGCATTTCTTGCTTACGGGGAGTGTTCAGGAAAGAAATAAATCAGGAATCATGTATATCGGACAAGAGTATAATTGTGATTTATTATGCTTATTTAATTTTACGAAATTTTCATACTTGGTACTCTTGCCTTTTCTATATAATGAAAGTAGAGGAGACGAAGACTATTATCTTCTTCTCTCCAATGTTTACCAACCATTGTCTCAACAATTTCAACAAAACAAATATATTCACAAGAAAAGTAAGAATGTAGCTAGAAAGTAGGGGGGACCCGGGAAGTCATGAATGGAAGGAAGCTCTCTAGGTAAAGAAAGGAGTTTGGTAACACGGTTCAACAATTGTTGCATTAAGACAACCAAAACGAAATATTAGCCATGACAATCATAAAAGAACCACAATTATTCAGTCATTCACCATTTATACTTTCTGGAACAGCCAGAGCAGCAGCAGCTTGTATCCTGATTTTGAAATTAGAAGAATCACGAAGCAGCAGCAAGAGGATACTAAAAACAGAAGGAGCCCTGCATAATTAGAACACATCTGAAACTATATGTAACTAAATCAAGAGAAACAATAGCATATCGGGGAAAAGATGCCTCAAAACAAAAACCAAGAAGCAAAATATACGGAAGAGATTTTTGCAGATATAATTCTAGAGATGAAACCAAGTTAAGACATCAGTTAGATTGCATATACTCCTGATCAGAAGGTCCGTGTTGACGAGTCTAAAAGGAATTACTTTACATATAAAGTCAAAATTGTTTAATTATTTGCTGATTTGACTGATGCATTTTAGGGAGTTTTCCTAGTCTTCAGCACAGAATTTTATGATTTGTTTTGCCGGTAATTATGAAAGATTTTAGATGATTATTTTCCTTTTTCTATGTATTTTCAGCTGTATATATGGTTGTAAAAAACCTTTGACAGTATACGAAAATAGGTGTACATTCTCTATAGTCTGGAATCTTGATCGCTGGTATGTATTCATGCATGCATTCTTCTTCAGTCTTTGTCAGTTTTCAAGCACCTATTCCTTTTATGACCATTCGTCCTTGGAGAAGAAGACTCTAACCATTTATGACCCTGTTGTAGAACCAATAATGTCCTATCATGTCAAGGCACTCGGCTGTTTAGAGGTCAGCACAGCTACATAGACACAGAAAAGCTTGATACGTTTCTTTTTGCTTCAGACTTGTGTAACTGAGGATGCCGTGTCCTCCCTAATGTATCTTTTCTTCTATCAGTAAACTAATGTGCCATATTTTCTTCTTTATCAAAGCCAACATTCCAGCATTACATAGGAGCTCATCAACAGGTTTCCAGCCGTTGCTCCAATCTTTCTCCCAGAAAAAGAAACAAATTTAGTATGTGAAAGACGAGAAACAGAATCCTTACCAATTCATGTCTTGCAGTTTCAAAGTCTTATTGGAAAATAAATTGCTCAATGCGTGACAGACGTTCCACTGAACCTGTTAGCAAAGCCCAAATAAGAAAATTATATATATATAATGTAAAGTTTCAGCTTCTTATCATTGTCTTTAAGCTGGAAAGGGAGATGAGGAGACCAAAAAACCTTAACATTTCCAGTTGTCACACAAGAAAGAAATGCCTGCACCATCTTTCCAAGCCAATGGAAATTCCCTGAAGATGCTGACCGGAAAGAATCTGACCTTTCGTTCAGATCATCCTTCGACAAATTTTGGCCATCATCTATTAGCGTCGAGGCCATGCAATCAATGGGCTCTCTACGCGCAGTTAGTTGGTTTGTAAATTGAACAAATCGTGCAAGATTCCCCAGAGCTCTAACAGCATTTGCTTTGACCTGCACCAAAGAAATTCATCAAGTAAAACAAGCAAAACCCCCGGGGGAGGGGGGGGGGGGGGAATAGTTAAGAGATGTACCAAAAAGCATACTTGTAGGGAAAGATTATCTAATCTAGAACACAAAAATGGATTAATTTATAGAACGAGATCAACAGCTTGCACAAGCATGTAAATGAGCAAAATCAACTTAATGCTAAGGAATAACTAATAATTTAAGTTTTAGATAAGCTTTAACCATAATTGAAGTCCAGTAAAACATAAAACCTTATGAGACTAAGAAAAACAGAGAGAAGATACAAAATCCTCCCACATTGATAGAAATATCTAAAAGAACATGCACACCTTCCTACTGATCTGAAAAGGAAGAAGTATGCAATCAGAATTTCATTAATTAAAATAGATTACACAGGATGTGTATAATCACTTTAAACAAGAGAGGAACAACATGAAATTAGGCAACCCTTCTATAGAATTTTTAGCCGCGACATTAAACCAATTATACAAAGTCAAATAAAACATTTCCCTAATCTGCGCTATTGTCTTTGTTTGGTCTTCGAGACAACAGTTGTTCCTTTCTCTCCAAAAACACCATGCCATGCATCCCGAGATAAGGTTCCATACAAGTTTGCTATCCTTATCACGAAATTTTCCCCTCCATGCCTGCAATACGCCCTCTATTCCCCTAGACAGCACCCAAATCATAGATTGAGAAGCCAAGATATTGTTCCAAAGCCAACGAACACCATCACAATGAATGAACAAGTGGTCTACCGTCTCTCCATCCCTTTTGCACATATATCACCACTCGGTTACATAAAAGCCTTTTCATCGAAGATTATCCACCGTTGACACCTACCGCCTCACAACCGTCAACAATAAGAATGCTACCCGTGGAGAATATTTGCTTTGTCACACCAGCTTCCAGGGGAATGAACTCTCCATAGGTCCCAAAAGGGATCTAAAATAAGTGCGAACAGAAAAAATACCATCTCGTGCCAACTTCTACCTGCTACAATCACCCTCTCCTACTCGAATTTGTACCTTATGTAGAGATGTCAAAAACAACTAATAACCATCCAACTCCCAATCCTGTAGACTCCTCTCAAAAATAATATTCCAGCTGTAATTCCCATTATGAATGGCTAGTACATCACTCACCATAGCAGAAGGCACTAAAGAAATGCGGTGCAAAGAAGGAAATCCTACCTTCAACGGTTGATCGCCACACCAAGTTACAGGGAATCTTATTGACACTGTAGTCCCAGTTAAATTACTTTACTTTCTCTTCAGCTTATTAGTTTTTGCTTTTCAAGAAAGTTTGTCTTTAATGTGTAAAGCGATCCAGTGTAGTAAAGCCCCAAAAAGTTTCATATTTACCCGGACTGCTCCAATAATGACTGATTTTACAGCTAATTTTTAAAGAAAATTTTGTGTTGGCTCGTATTTTAAGTGTAAGGAAAGTGGGAAGATGATATTTACTAGTTTCTGCATTGCAAGGTGAACTTTGAATCATTATTTGCTTCTCAATTATTATGCAGTTTATTGGGTTATGCCGGAGTAGGCGTGAGTGTACTAGAAAGCTAGAACATAGACCCAAATTGCTTGATGCAGGTTAGTTGCTTAAGAGAGTTCAATGCAGCTTGCAAATACTGCCTTACGTTGATGATTGGTTAGATTTTATCCAATAGGGGGATGGTAAATATTCTTTCTACACTTGCATGCAAAAACTCAATAAATAAAAATAGCCAAATAGACAACAACAACAATAACAATCTAAACCTAGTATCCAAGAAATTTGAGCTCAGCTACATGAATCCTTTTTCGCTACTATATTCGGTTCATTATTAGATATGCTACAGATACACAGATAATCAATCTGGCAACCATAACAACAAAGTGGAGGCAATAATCATGATAAGTGTATTTTATACACATAATCGGGGTTCTAAATTAACGATATTTGATAGTCTTTTAGCAAAATATATTCTAAATTGTTGTCTTATGTTTAATAGGTGAATTTTCATGGATTAAAAGGAAGTGAAGGAAAGAAGAGAAAATTGGGCGAAAATGGCAATATTTAAAGTAAGTGGATTAAAGTGGCCATTGAAAGAAAATTGGAGAGCAATTGGAATCCTTTTGAAAGTCAAACATTGTGGGCTAGGTTACCACTAATATAAATACATATATATATCCCGTTTACAAGGGAGGAAAAAGAGAGGAGAAGAAAAAAAACCTAGAAAAGAAGGAGAAGAAGAAAAACGGCAACCGGGGAGATTGAACTTCAAGAGGGCTGCCGGCTGTAGTGGGAAATATATATGTACATATATTCATGCGCATAAAAGGGAGGAGGGATAATAGGGGCTGCAAGAGGAGAAAAAAGAAATTTGGAGTGCAGCTGTAAGGAAATTAAAAGGCAAGAATTCGAAATTTATAGGGAGCATACATACAAACGGTGGCCGACAGAAGGAAGTCAGAGAAGTGGGCTGATTTATTAATTCATATACTGAGTTGGTGGTTGCAAGTGTGACAAAACATTCAAGGCTTGTATTGGAGCCACCTTTGGAGATATTCTTGCATGCATTGGCAGCTGAACCTGGGCAAATTATCATATACATATACATTGATAAAGCAGTCAACTAGGGAAGAGACAGTGATAAAAGGCAGCTTGGTGAGGAAACGTGTGCTGCTGTATTATAATATATATAAATACATATATATACATTGGGAGGCAACCAAGATTACGCACGGAAAGGGAGGCGAAAAGGAATCAAACATTGGGCTGAATTTGAAGGAAAAAGATGTCGACAGCAAAGAAAAAAATTCCAGATTTCTTTTGCAATAATCACGTCAATTTCGCGGTGATGTCGTTTAAACTT